ACAGGCCTAGTCAAAAAGAGATGGGGATAAGTTTGTTATCATTCAACAGTGAGTAACTGTTATCATGACTAACTGCGCTTTGTCATAGCTGTAAAGGTAGAAGTTTTATAACAAAAATGGTGGAGTACTTAATCGTACAGTCCAGAAACAGAGGTCCCTAGGACCAGCAAGGGAGAAGAACACAAGTAGAATGTGCAACCCTATCCAGAGAAGTAGTGACAACAGAGATGGAGACAGAGATTAGGACATGGAGAGAGGGAGCAGCTGAGGACTCTAGTTGTTGTTATAGTTAGTGCCATTGAGTCAGTACCGACTCATAGCAACCCTATGTACAACAGCACGAAACACTGTCGGGACCTGGGCCAACCTCACAACTGTTGCCACGCTTGAGCCCATTGATGCTGCCACTTTGCAAATCCATCTTGCTGGGGGTCTTCCTCTTTTTCTCTGACCTTACCAAACATGATATCCTTCTTCAGCAACTAGTCTCTCCTGACAACATGTCCTAAGTATGAGAGACAAAGTCTGGCCATCCTAACCTACAAGAGGCACTCTGGCTGCACTTCTTGCAACACAGATCTATTGGTTCTTTCAGCAGTCCATGGCACTTTCAATATTCTACAACACCATAATTCAAAAGCATCAATTCTTCTATGATCTTCCATATTCACTGTCCAGCTTTAGCATGCATATGAGGTTACTGAATATATTATGGCTTGGGTCAGGTGCACCTTAGTCCTCAAGCTGACATCTTTGCTCTTCAGCACTTTAAAAAGATCTTGTGCAGCAGATTTGCCTAATGCAATATGCCGTTTCATTTCTTGACTGCTGCTTCCAAAGTGTTGATAATTGATCCAAGAAGAATGAATTCCTTGACAACTTCAATGTTTTCTCCATTGATAAGAATGTAGTTTATTGGCCCAGTGGTATGGATTTTTGTTTTCTTTACATTGAGATGCAATTCATACCAAAGGCTGTGGTCTTTGATCTTCATCAGTAAATATTTTAAGTCCTCTTCACTTCCAGCAAGCAAGGATGTATCATCTGCATATTGCAGTTGTTAATGAGTCTTTCTACAATCCTGATGCCACGTTTTCTTCTTCATATAACCCAGCTTCTCGGATTATTTGCTCAGCATACAGGTTGAGGAAGTATGGTGAAAGAATACAACCTTGTCACACACCTTTCTTAATTTGAAACTATTAAGTGTTCCCAAATTCTGTTTGAACAACTGCCTCTTGGTCCATGTACAGATTCCTTATGAGCACAATTAAGTTCAGGAATACTCATACTTCGCAATGTTGTCCATAGTTTGTCGTGATCCACACATTGAAAGCCTTTGCGTAGTCAATAAAGCACAGATACACATGTTTCTGGTATTCTCTGCTTTCAGCCAAAATCCACTGAACATCAGCAATGATATCCCTCATTCCATGGCCTCTTCTGAATCCAGCTTGAACCTCTTAGAGTTCTCTGTCACTGTATGCTTGCAGCCGTTTCTGTATCACCTTTAGTAAAACTTTACTCGCACGGGCTATCAAAGATATTGTCCAATGATTTCCACATTCCATTGAGTCACCTCTCTTTGGAATGGGCACAATTACGGATCTCTTCCAATCAGTCAGCCAGATAGTTGCCTTCCAAGTTTCTTGGCATAGATGAGTGAGTGCTTTTAGTGCCGCCTCACTATCTTGAAAGATTTCAATTCAATTTCAATTTTTATCCCATCAATTCTTGGAGCCTTGTTCTTTGCGACTTCCCTAAATGCACTTTGGACTTACTATACCTTGCGTAGTCACTGTACCAAAAGGAAACGGTTGATGTTCACCAGCTTCTAGAATCACAGCAACTCAAAAGCCACCAATGTACAACAAACTGACCCACAAGTGGTGGCTGAGGACTCTAGACTCATGGAAAGAGATAGACTGAGTGCCGGCGGCCAGGAGGCAGTCTTGCAGAATGTGACTTTTGGTTGTTTAAATTATTATATATTCCTGATTGGGGGGGAGGAGGGATCATTACTGGTTACAAGACATGGATTCATCACTATGAACCTGAGAATAAACAGTAGAGTATGGGATGGAAACATCCTCAGTTGCTGACCAAGAAAAAGTTCAAAAGTCAACCATCAGCTGGAAAATTGAAGCTTACAGTTTTGGGGCATCTCAAAGGCAGGTATTGGAACACTATCAGGAGAAAGGCTCAACTATCAACAGTGCCACTTATAGCTGAGATGCTCACTGAAGGGCTGAAGCCTAAACATTGGATTAAACGCAGAGGAATGCTATCCAACTGTGTTGTAATCTTACATGGCAACGCACATCGGCACACCTCTGCCCATACTGCTGATATTCTGCAAAAACTTTGTTTTGAGGTGTTAAAAAGTCATCCCCACTATTTAGTCCTGATCTTGCTCCATTAGACTTTCACCTGTTTGGTCCGCTGAAAGCAAACCTTCCAAGACAAAGATTCACCTCTGATGAAGAAGTAAAGACAGTGGTGTGTTCGTGGCTTGAAGTTCAGCCTAAAACATTTTTTAGTAAGTGAATACTAAGTTTGTTGACAGATGGACAAAGTATATTGAAACGCAAGTATATTGAAAAACACACTCATTATGTCAATGAGTGTGTTTATCTTTTCTAAAAAATTGATTAAAATAAATCCTAGAGCCAGAGTAAGCATACTTACTTTTTGCCTCACCCTTGTATTTTTCTATGTTCTTAAGTTTTCCAAAACAGAATTTTTAAATCATCATTATCTTCATCAGATACTCCCTAAAATTTAATTGATAATAACAACACCTGGTGGTGCTGTAGGATAAACACTCAACTTCAACGCCAGTTTGAACTGCAAGGTCAGCAGTTCAAATCCACCACTTCTCAGAAACCCTATGCAAGGTTGCTATGGCTTGGAATACACTTAACAGCACTTAACAAAAACATACAAGTTCAAGTAGTTTGATTAGTAATATTCTGTGACTGGCTCATCCAGGCTCAGAATCAGATATTCTCTGGAATGGAGTATTTTGAAGCTACTGAACCACCTTTGGTTTACTAGTAATACCTACTCTGAAAGGATTTTAGGCATAAACTGTCAGTGCTAAATCGTGTGCGAAGTCAGGGAACTGCATTTAAGCACTACATGGCAAGTATGCCTATGATTCTCTCTGGGATAGTAAAATGGCTAAGCTCAACCGTCATTCCAATCCTTTTTAGATATGAATCTCACATTGTCTGCTATCCAGAAAAGCCTAGTTGAAAGAGCTCTACCTAGCTATCTTTATTAAATGACTGTCATAAAAGAAAAACCCAACATTAAAATTCTAACTTCAGCACTGTTATGTGCTCTGGATTCCAATAATAAGAGCTGTACAATCTACCTATTAGCTTCCTGGCAGCTTAGCCAAAAGGGTAAGCAAAATCCAACTGAGAAATATAACCACGCAATCCAATCCTCACTTTACAGTACAAATATACACAGGTACATTTCCCCTGATAATACATAATTAAACATTAAAAACAAAAAAAGCAAAACCCACTTACATCGAGTCAATTCCGACTCATCACAATTCTCCATAGTTTCCAAGGCTGTAAATTTTCATGAGACTCATATGGAAGAGTTGTTGGGTTTGAACTATCTTGTAGTCAGAAGTTCAGTGCTTATCCTACACTGCCACCAAAGGTCCTCTGATAGTATATATAGTATGTGTTTTTGTTTTGACAAATACATCAAAATCACTATCTAAAAAGCATTAAAAATGCAATAAATACTTTGATCAACAGCTAATTATCATTTGGGAACTCTGTTCCTTCAGTTTACCCAAAAGATTAACACAATAATTGAGCTCATGTAGTAATTTGCAATTACTTTTCAATAGGGCAAATGTCCTTCATATCAAAGCAATAGTGATGTCAGAATAAAGCCGAATTGTGCCAAACAATTTTAATTATCCATATTATCACATATGTTAAGTCACCAAAAAGACACCTCTCCAGTCCCACAGAAAAGGAAGTATTCAAATCTGTATTCCAGAAAGGGAACAGAGAGAGTTGTCACAATCCATTCTATACATTATAAATGACTATTTTTAAAAACTCATCCAGTGTTCCCTTCAAATTTAATTTGCCTCATGCTAATTAACAAACAATGTAAAGATTATTTACTAAATAAAAAAATTGATTGAATGAATTTTGACAGAAAACCAAAGTAAACAAAATACTTGGGAATAGACGTCTGTGTAAATTAGTTCCTTTCCCCTCAAAAGGCTGGAATATGGTTGCCAAAAGACAATTTACCTTTATTTATTTATTTATATTTATGTGTACATAAAGGAGCTTCAAAAGTTAGTGGAAAAATAGAAATTTAAAGATAATGGAAAGTTTCATATATATATACATAGAGAGAGTGAGTGAGTGAGTCATGGTATGGCACTGCAGCATAATGAACTGGACCCCAAGATTGGTTTGAACTGCATGGTTGGTGGTTCAAACTCACCAGGCACTCCTTGGAAACCTTATACAGGGTTGCCATGAGTTGGAACTAATTCAACAGCACTTAACAACAAACAAAAAGGTTCAGTGATCAACAAGAATTTATATTGTTGTTTGTTGTTAAGTGTCATCGAATTGGTCCTGACTCATGGCAACCCTGTATAAAGTTTCTAAGGAGCACCTGGTGAGAATGAACCATATGTATATATGTGTGTGTGTGTGTGTGTGTGTGTGTGTGTGTGTGTGTGTGTATAAACAAAGTGGTTAAGTAGTAAAAATTTGACAGAATTAACAGATTCTGTCTCCAACATGCAATTTATACCTAAAAGTGAATATTACTTTCTTCTTAGATAAATAAAATGTCACCCAAAAAAGTCAAATAAGCATCGAGTCTTAATAAAGTAGAAAAGTCATACATCCACCAATGCCAAAAACAACCAAAGCTAATTCCAAACTAATTCAGAGCTTGACAGCTTCCATTTTCCTTATGATCTTACATGTCCTACTTACCAATTTATCATTTTCATTGGGCATTTCAAAAACACATCTCAATTTAGAATCCATTAATTCATCAGGTTTTGCTTCTTTCCACTAAAACCAAATAAAACCAATGTAAGACAAAGGAGGTATGATTATGGAAAACAGCTTTGCTTCAAAGGACAACTGAAGGATTAGTAGTAGCTGCTAAGAGCAGTGGTAAAGAGTCTGGGGCTAAACCAGGATTCTCTGCTGCAGTATGAATGGAACCACAATACCAAATACTAATACTAAACAAGTTACTAATATCATGCTAAAATCATACTAACATTTCTAAAGATTACAGGACTTTCATCTTAGTAACACTATTTCAAAATTACTATGTTTCTCTAATAAATTGAGAGGTATACAAAATGCACAGTTTAAACATTTTCCAAAATAAATTCCGTTTAAACTCTACACTTACCACAGCTTCCATATCTGAAGTGTTTGGTGGTGCAAAAATTGTCTGTACCATAAACTTGTGTTTACTCTTCTCATTTGGATCATAGTCAAAAGGTTGTAGCATTACTAAATAAGAAGAAAGAATACATTACATTGCCTTCTGAGTGTGTTTGCTTATCACTCCTAATATCTCCTTCATGATATGCAATTTTCTTAAAAAGGGATTAAAAAAACCAAACACTACATTAAGAATCCAGAATCAGCTTTATAATTCCAATTCTTTTCTTTCTGATTTACTAAATATTAAATGATGTCCTTGGCTTGGGAAATTTTTCAACACTTTGTAAAAATTAATTATAATGCTTATAAGTTCAGATAAATTCTTGTTAAGTTATTAAAATTAGTTATGATATCAATTTAGCTCTTGTTTTTGTATTTAGTAATATCTTCTAAACTCAAGAAAAGGTGTTTAAAGAATTTTATCATTTATTAATGTTTAAATATCAATTTCTCTAAAATGAATTTTAAATAAAGACCTACTCTAGAAGAATATCTGATTACAAAAATAAGTATAGAACAAAAATACACAGTTTTATGAATTCTAGATCAGAGTCCCAGTAATTACATGAACATTGTTTTCTAAGCATTTATGATTTTCAGTAGTCTGTAAAGTCTTTGAGAAGCTCCGTCTAGTTATAAGTCACATTAAATTTATATAATGTAAATTCAATATAACAGCTTAAAGACATACCTCAGAGATAATGCAATTTCAGTTTTGGACCACCATAATAAAGTAAAAATCACAATGAAGCAAGTCACACAATTTTTTTGGTTTTCCAGTGCAAATGAATGTTGTTTATGCTATAGTGTAGTTTATTAAGTCCTGGTGTGGCACTGTAGGGTAAGTACTGGACTGTTAACTGCAAGGTTGGCAGTTCAAACCCACCAGTCATTCCTAGAAAACCCTGTACAGGACCACTATGAGTCAGAACCAACTCAACAGCACTTAACAACAACAGCATTATGAAAAGTTTGATTGTGAGAATTACCAAAATGTGATACAGAGACATACAGTGAGCACATGCTATCTACGATAATGACTTGTTGAATGCAGAGTTGCCACAAACCTTCCTTTTGTAAAAGAATGCAGTATCTGTGAAGCGCAATAAAGCACAATAAAATGAGGTATGTCTGTATAAAAATTATTAAAAATACTGTAGAAATTTTCCCTGATATTTCTACGACAAATATATGGTCCTGGTGTGGCACTGCAGGTTAATGCCCCGGACCACAAGGTCAGTTTGAACAGCAAAGTCGGCAGTTCTTTGGAAACTTTAGGAAAAAAAGGCACTCTTAGGAAACCCAATAGAAGGTCACTATGAGTTGGTACCCACTTGACAGCACTTAACAACAACAGCATTTTTGAGAAGATAAAAATAACTAAGGTATCAATTGCATTATAAGATACTGGCTGAGAATTCCATTTACTTACATCATAGTTAAAATTTTTTTCTCAAAGGGAGACAAATACATAGGGGCAGAAACTACCCAGAATAAATGATACACAATCAAGATAAAGCCCAATAAAATTCCATGAACTTCACTGAGCATTACCAATATTTACCAAAATTTAGAGGGTAAAGAAAAAATTACAACAGTTGTAATACTCTATAATGGTTGCAGACTATGTAACATGAAAGACATTATTTACAATGAGTATGACTATGTATAAAAATGGTAGGAAAAACAAAAAATGAATATATAGTATACAGAGTTTATCAGCAAAAGGTAGCTAGAGAAATCATAGTTCGAGTGGCTCCTTATACATAAAAGTAAAATCCAAAGATATGATGTGCAATTAGTAGTTTGATTAGTGTTTAAGTCAGGTGTTCAATAAAAGGGGTTTTATGTGGGTCATAGTGATTTTTTTTTTTTTTAACAAAGTGCTTTTAAAACTATAAAGTTTCTTCAGGAATATTAATTAATACAGCAAAATATTACGGCCCTCAAAGAAAAAGTCATTCTGAATCATTTAATAAATTCCTAAGGGTATAAGTGCATCAAAAATTTTAATCACTTTATTTAAAATATTTCTATCTTCTTCCAATTTAGCTAGCTAAAGGCTTAAAGACAGCATCTGTTTTTCCTAGGAATTACTGAACTGGACTAAGGTTATCAAACAAATAAGAAGCACTCCCCTCAGACCACCAGACCTCAAAACTCACTAAAAACTCATCACAAAGCCACCTAACAGATACTAGCTGTATCTTCTGAGGGAGGATTTATTACAGCCAGCATCTGATATCAAGTCTAAGGTCTATTATCTTTTACTGTCCTTAAAGTCAGGTTCTACTTCTTAACTATGCACAATGGCACTACTTCTAGGCTCCCACTCTTTGAATAATTTACCATTTTCATTTTATTCTGGACTTGAAAACTAAAAACCTGATACAAAATTATGAGGTGCTGTTATCAGGACCACCCCGGCAGTTTTTGTTTGTTTTTTAAATGCTACATGTCCAGGTCATGCCCCCAGAGATATGACGTTGTAGAAAGTTCACACTATCCATGTTACTAGGGTACAGTCTGGGAGATGAGAATTACAGCTATAAAGTAAAAATATATGGTCTCTATAAAGTAAAAATAAATGGTCTCAGTGTAAGACAGACTTTCTCATACTTGTTTATAATTTCTCAGTTATGTTTGATGATATCTTTAAAACAGTATTGTCTTGGACTACAACAAGAGAACAGTTTGTAACATTAACAATGGCATTACAGCAGACTTCACAGCAGGAGTGAACAAGCTATATATGTATTAAAGAAATATTTATTTCTTCAACTACAAGCAAACACACAAAGATGTGATGAAAATTAAGTGTTCAACTACAGAATACTACTGGCATTTTGAAAACTAGACAAAAACTCTGATTTCATACAATAGTCAATAATGAGGTACGGCATATTTTAAGCAAAAGAAGTGCATGTAATATATAAAAAGCTAGAGATCAGAAAGAGATTAGTCATAAAAACATGGTGTAATATTTCAAAGACAAAATAATAAAGGGAAGAAACTGTGGTAGTGGACTATAAAAAAGAACAGATCTAAAAATTTTAACTGATTAAAATTACTTATAAGCTGACCACACCCACAAATAAGGATGCAAGAGGAAGGTGAGAAATTTTCTATAAGCTTGTTAATGGTAAGAAGACAGGAGACCATTAAAAGCAAAGAGAAAATAAGAATAATTTTCTTTTCTCCACATTCCACCCTATTAGTTAAAGCAAATTAATCAACATCATAACATGTCAGTAACTCAGAACATGGTTTGCTACCTGAAACAGTCACAGACAACCCTGGATCAATAATTCCACTGTTGGGCCTCACACAGTACCGACGAGGAGCTGTAGTCTTCACTTTGAAACATACTTTTCTATCCGATGGATTTCTCAATTTAAGATTTGTAGTGACTACATCTGTGAAGGGGCCTGTAAGATTCAAAAATTTTTTTTAAATTTAAAACTGTAATCACAACTTTAATCAGAATTCAAAACTGAATGCATACAATCCCAATTTTATTAAAAGTATGTATTTAAATATATACACAAAATTTTCAGAGTTAACAATGCTTTTCTCATTACACACTAGTTTTATTTTCTTCTTCATTCCTTATGTTTTAGAAAATTTATACAGTAAGCATGTAATATTGCTAAACAAAAAAAGGCTTTTTAAAAGTTTGATTCAATCATTCATTCCAACTTGTTAGGTGTTTATTATGTGACCTGTGCCACATATTCCAGACGTAAGGTTTTTGTACTTTGGATGTAAAACCAAAGAATATAAACTTGCAAAACAAAGCAGCTGAAAAGATATTCCAAACTCAAAACCCATAGCCATCAAGTCAATTCCAACTCATAGTGACCTGTTGTTGTTAAAGTGCTGTCAAGTCGGTGCCGACCCATAGCAACCCCGTATAGGGTTTCTAACGCGCGGTTGGTGAGCTTGAACTGCCAACCTGAGGTTCAAATGACAGCTCCACTCCAGGACTTCTTATAGAACAGGGTAGAACTACTATATAGGATTTCCAAGGTTGTAAATCTTTTACTGAAGCAGACTGTCCCATAGAGTACTAGTGGGTTCAAATAACCAATGAAGTGCTTTAATTACTGTGCCACCAGAGTTCCTAAAAGCTGGTTCAGCCCTGCCTGAATTAAAGAGGTCCTAAGTCAGCATTTTTTTAATATATTTTTCAAAAGGAGAAAAACTGACAATAATTTTGCTCTTGCCCCAAAACAAAAAACTCCTCAAGACAGATTTTACAGGTTAATTTATACAACAAAATAAGAATCTGTTAATTTAGAGACAGAGATAAATGTAAAACATGCCAATGGGAAGCAGACATATACGAGGGTCAAAAAGTATTGCTACTAGGGTTCCAGTTCATATATGTTGTTGTTTCTTAGTGCTATTAAGTTGGTTCCGACCCAGAGCAACCCTGTATAGGGTTTCTGAGTAGTGGCTGGTGAGCTTGAACTGCCAATGTTGTGGTTCAAACAACATTGCAGGCAAGCACGTCACCCACAGTGCCATACCAGCACTCCTAGTTCATACATAGGTGGGTTTATTCCTAACGGAACATACTTAAACAAGCCTCTGCAATCAATGGATGGTTGCAGGCAAGTTCTCTCAGTAATACACTTACCTAAGTCATGGTATTTTCAACTGTCCCATATGCATATTAAAAGGAGAACTGATGCATTTGAATTATGTTGTTGGCAAATATTGGAAATGCTATAGATTCCTAGAAGAACAAACTAATCTGTATTGGAAGTACAGCCAGAACGCTCCTTTAAGTAGTGAGAATAGAGAGACTTTGCCTCACGTATTTGTACATGTTGTCAAAAGGGGCCAGCCTCTGGAAAAGTACAACATACTTGGTAAAATGGAAAAATGAGTAAAACCCTAGAGAAGATGGATTGACACAGTGGCTGCAACAATGGCTAAAACGTAACTGTGAGGATGGTACAGGACCAGACATTGTTTCATTCTGCTGTACATAAGTCTCTAAGAGCTGGAACCAACTCCACAGCATGTAACAACATGTTGTTAAGGTGACTTCAATAAAAAGGTCCAATGAAAACAGTAGATTCCAATTAGATCTGCTGGGCCAGTTAAACTCAAGGCAGAGAAGTCAGCCCAGAAGGTTACTAGCAACTGTTTTAGGTAATCTGAAAGGTGTGGCAGAGAAGGATAAACACTTGATTGTTAACTGCAAGACTGGGAGTTCAAACTTACCAGGTGCTCTTGGAAACCCTCTAAAAAGTTGCTAAAGTTGGAAATGACTTGACAACACCCAATAACAAATGGGGTAATCTTGACAGATTTTTTCCAAAGACACAGGATGATCATAAGGACTTACAGGAAAGTATTTTGAAAGAAAAGTAAAATACAGTAATGGAGAAAAAGGCCTAGAAAGTTGCACTGACATGACAATGTATCTGGCTCATTCTTTGTGGAGGTAGTAAGGGCTGTCCCACGAAAATTTAGTAGGAAAATCTTACCCTCATCCACCCTATAACACTGATTTTGACCCTCAGACTTTTTTTTTTCTTGTTCCCAAAACTTAAAGAACATTTAAAAGGAATATGATGTGTCCCTCAAGAATGCCAAAATTATCACTGACCAAGTATAAATGAAAAAGCACAGAATTCTTGTATTAGAGATGGAAATGAGTCTTCAAAAGTGTACACACTTAGATGAAGGCTATGTTGAAAAATAAAAGCAGCATATTTTGATATTTTTGTTCAATATGGTTTCTATGACTTTGTATCAATACTTTTTAACTTGCCTTTGTACTTCTAACCACTGCAAAGTCTATTTTAAATGGCTCTAATACAATTAGTTTTGAGACTTGCTTATTTTTTTTCCTTTAAGCTAGAAGGCTTGATGCACAATTATTACAAATTCCATCTTTTAATATCTTTTCACAAACAAGACTACCAAGGTCTTTTATAACTTTAAAGTATATCATGGAAATCCAAACTGAAAAATTCTCTATTGTTGTTAGGTGCTGTCGAGTTGGATCCAACTCACAAGTGACCCTATGGTCACAAGAAAATAAAACACTGAAGGATCCTACACAATCCTCACAACTGTTGTTATGTTTGAGTCCATTGTTGCAGCCACTATCCAACTATCTACCCCATACAGTACTTCTTTCCCACTTTGTTAAATACTGTAAAATTAATCTGTGCAAAATCTTGAGCTGAAGCAAAAAAATATAGTGAAATGAAAAGAGGGCAGGGAATGAAATAAAATATATCTGCCCAATGCAGTAACTGGGAGAAGAGAGACTGATTTGTCTATAGACATGGCAAAGGTAAGGCCATTAAAATATATTTATTTCAAGTCCTAAGACATAGAATGATTTTATCTACACTTAAAACTTGATCTAAGACCATCAAGGGAGAAGAGCGGAGTGTGGGACCCTACCCAAAGAAGCAGTGATGCCAGAGATGACATGGACAGATGGAGTGGCTGGGGACTTTAGACCCAGAGAGGGAGAGAGGATGCATGCTGACAACCAGGGTAAGGGGGGTGGGGTGGTGGCAGGCTTGCAGGGTATATATCCTGTGGTTGATTGATGATGCATGGTGGGGATTGTAACCATGGCAATGAAAGGATATATGATAGGATGAATATAAAACTAATGTTCTCCCATGTAAAGTATCACATAATTCACAATAAAACATTAAAAAAAATTTTATTTAAATATATTTTCTAAGAAATCAAAATTTTTAATGAGCAGGAGACAAAGTAAGAGAAAACTACAAGAATGCATTCAAGAACAGAAAAGAGAATCAATTACAGAAAAGAAAGCATACTGATGTAAAATAACCATCTAATACAACAGGCATGCATGGGTTATTGTTTTTTAAAGGTATGTGTATGTGTGTGCACTCATAGGAAAGCAGGCCAAAAAGCAGTGCTAAAAATCACAGTAACCTTTACTAAAGAAAAACACAACCTTTATTAAACAAAAACTACTGTTTCTCAACATATCCTTCTTCTTGGTCTATACACTTATGAAGATTTTTATTCTCTTAGATTTACTATATTAAAATGGCAGTTTTGGTACTTGCAAGCGACTTAAATCATGTTCCTTTGAAAGGTTCTCAGAATCTGAGGAACAAAATGAAATCTGAAAAGGCAAGATCGGGCTATAGGGTACTTGGAGTAAGATTTCCCAAGGAAATTCTCCAAGGACAGGCCTTGCTACTCTCAAAGAATGAGCAGGTACACTGTCATGAAACTCCTCAGGGAAACTTTCCTGGTCTTTTTCTCACCAAGGCAGTTTTACCCTTTCTTAAATCTTCTTCATAATTTTGAAGGTTGTCCTGTGTCCTGTAAGAAATTTTTCTGCTTTGAGATCTAAAAAGTGTCAACCATAACCTCGATACTGACCTAGAAGACCACCTCAGAAGTCAATATTTTGATTGGGCATTTTCCTTATGAAGGCACCCTAATCACACTAAGTCAAGTTTATTACTGATGGAACTTGTCTGCAGCCATACATGGATCTCAGAAGCATGTTTAAACACATTTTGTATGGAATAAACCTGTGAATGTATAAACTGGAACTCAAGTAGCAATACCTTTTAACTTGCCCCAGTATAAACCAGGAGTCCTGGTGTGGAGCTGTGGGGTTAATGCGTCAGACTGCAAAGTCATTTGAACTGCAAGGTTGGTGGTTCAAGCTCACCAGCTTCTCCTTGGAAACCCTATACAGGGTCGCTATGGTTGGAATCGACTCAATGGCACTTAACAACAAGTATACACTGGAGGCTTTAAAAAGTTCATGGAAAAATGGAATTAAATGATGAAGGAATGTTCTCCTGAACTTTTTCAAGTCATCTCATAAGTATGCAAAGTCCTGGTGTAAGATAAGCACTGCATGCTAATCACACGTTGGCAGCTCAAACCCACCAACTCGACAGCACTTAACAACACAGGTATACAAGAAGTATCAACTCTTGAGCAGCTTGTTTTAACTGTGTTGTCATGTGCCATGGAGTCAGTTCTGACTCATACTAACTCTATATAAGGTTTCTGAGGCTGTAGATCTTTACAGGAGCCTCCTCTTTCTCCCATGTTTTAACTACATAGTCAAGGCAATCACCCAATTTACATGTTATCTTAAACTTACTGCTATTTTAGTAGTTTTTTTTTGTTTTGTTTTTAAACAAGCTAACTGCACTATACAAATGATATGACAGTAAAAGATAAAATTCAAATCTGTCCATTTTATTTGAATGAATCACAAAATGGTTGGATAACAATTTTAATTAAGTGATAAAACTAGGAATCTTAAAGACAAAGACTCCATTTAACATTCTCAAAGCCCAGGAATTACCACAGATGACTGAAAATATGTATAATTTTTTTAGGAATATTTCAAATAGCACTTTAACTTTAGCAGCAAAACATG